AATAATTATTATTATTATAATAGGACAACTATTCTGTGTAGCCAAAAAAAGATTTTTTCTGCTTATTAAAATAAGTTTTCGTGCAATAAAAGTTGTGTACTAATAATATTTAACGAATTTAAAACAGTACGAGAACGTTCATACGTTCATATATATATATACAGCTTATTTCAACGTCACTGTCTTAGACGATGTCTTGAGTTCCTATACTTATACAGAGTTAAATTGTTGCAATAAAAATGTTCGCATGTATGTCAAAATGATACTCTTTCTCCTATAACGACGAAAACCAGCATTCAAACTCATTTTCGTGTAATTCCACCTTTTCACTTGCTTACAATTTGCGCCTTGCTCTGCGAAAACGGAGTTTATACATCTCAACCGAAGGTACATGCCAAAAACTAGGAGTATTGTCAATCATTGACTACTAATGTCGCAACACTTAAATCTGAAAAGTGTGCATACACTTTGGGCCCAAAATCTAGTCAAAATGTAGTGCTTCACTCGTCAAACTTTGAATTTAAGACTTTTTAAGACTCATACAGCATTAAGGATTTGAGTTTTAAATACGTAAGTAAATAAAAATTTTCGTCGTTCCCATCCACCTTCATGCTGTGATTCACATCATTTTCAAAGGTACAGAGTATCCAGTTTTTAAAGTGTTACGTAGGTTTGAAACGTCATACACGGTGAAAAATATTTTCATTTTGTTTAAGAGCTGTACAAGCTTTATAAATATTATAATTTTTATTCAGTCTATTTTTTTTCTATTACGATAATTAAAGCGATACATGTGCAAAATCAATATTTGCCTAGTGGGACAGTGATGTTCTCTTTTGCCTTTCATTAGGTTAAGTGTGATATGAATTTTTTTTTGGAAGAAAGAACTTCCAAAGAAAAAAGAGTGACACTGATGACTGCATGGAGAATATGTGATATCCATCTTTGCCGAAGTAGAATAGCAGTATTTTTATTTGAGGCAAAGTGCAATATTAATTTTTTCTCAGTAAAGAAGGAATGTATAAAATCGATCATTGCGTAAAAAGGACTGTTATATATTTCACTTCATCTGGTCTCACTGTACTTGGTAGATTCAAACATTTTATTCATTCATTCTCTTGATAATGGATCATGAGAATCAATCCTATGACTACAGTATGAAAGAAAATTAAAAATTAAAATTGTATTAAAACTAGCAACACAGACCGCAACATTTTATTAAGTTACAAAAATATGATTGTCAAAAAAATTGTCAACTACAATGATAACTGATAAAAGTAACAGTTTAACATACATCAGAAATCCATGAAAAAATTTGTCATATTATTCATTGTGTATTTTGACTTGTAATAGTGATAATGCATGCAAAAAAGTATAATATCTGGCAAGAAATAAAATTGTGCCACAAAAGGTGATCATTGCCGGAACACAAGGTTAAGGATACGTAGGTTTATCGAGTGAGTGGCTAGAAAAAATATCCAGACTAGTTGCATCTGTAACCATGCATTTATTTAAAACAACTACGATATACAATAAAAATAGTAAACATTGATATTAAATAATTTATTTAGTAAAAATAGGAACTATACGGGATGGTGGCTCAAAGCAGGTTAGTTGACATTTAAAGCTCAGAAAATTGAGTATTAATATGATGAAAATGATGAAATTAAATTTTTTTTTAGAACTGGGAAATAAATAAGTAATGTTGGGTTATTGTCTATTTCTTCCTTATCTTTTTTTAAAAACGAAGAGACACTTGAAAAAACCATTATGCCGTAGTAGGTTATCCTTTCGGGCAAAGTAGGTAGGTACTATAATAAACGAAAGTATGCTTTGATTAATTATTCAGTTGGTAATTTTAGTGTATTTCAATCACCCTTCAATACCTTAAGAGACTTGCGTATGAAAATATAGTGATATTTAAATATAAACAATTATCAAGTCAGGAACTCGAAAACTTGGAAATAGCAAACAATGATTTAAAAACTTTTAAAACAAATGTCTTATTTGTGACGTAAATTGATCTGTTTTTTATTTACATTTACTTACTAAATAATAAAAAATTTTTTAGTATTAGTAACAAATGATATTAGTACAAATCCGATACCTGATAAACAACCCGCTTTGTCCGATTGGCTTGGCCTGAGCACTCATTTTTTGATTTAGTAATGATAACCCTGAAAAAGGCCGAAACAAAACGCTAATATTTCGTATTAATTTTAATTTCAATGGACTCAAAGTAATTGAGAATTATCAACAATACCATTTGAAAAAGTAAAATTATGAACGAATTAATTAACTTTTAACTTATATTAATTGTAAAAATAATAAACGAAATAACAAACCACCCACTTATCAGAAGTACTTTTTTTCTTACAAGAGGCTCTAGAGTTTCCTGACCATACGTTGCCACTATTGACTGTTTCTAGGAAGCTCTATCATTAATTGTATATAAATGAAGAAGCTATAACTTCATTTTAAAATAATGCTTAAATGCTGTTTTAAAAGTGTTCTTCTAGCTCAATGTCTAGTGAAATATCTGGCTGCATGTCTGACACAATGTCTGGCCTCTGAACTGGCTACAAGTATCACTTAATATCTGGCTTAAAGTCTGGTTAAACAATTAACGAAATATCTGACTATAAGTATGACCTTATGATTGGCTGCATGTCTGGCTTAATGTCTGGCTAAATGTTGGGCTTAATGCCTGGCCAAATGTTTGACTTAGGGTATCCGTGAATATGTGGCCTTATATCTGACCAAACATCTGTGTAAATGTTTGGCCTTACATCTTATCAAATGTTTGGCTAAATGTATAGATTAAACTATAGCTGGAAGTATAGTTTAATGTTTGGCCTCATGTCTGGTTTAATGTTTTGTTGAATATCCAGATAATTGTCTAGCATTATGTCTGGATTAATATTTGGCTAAAAGTATGGCCTAATAAAATATGGCTCAAAATCTGGCTAAATGCTTTGTTTGATTATAACCTAATGTCTGTCTAATGAGCTGTCTCAATGTTATGCCCAATTTTTACCTGTTGTCCGTCAAATAAGGATTTTTTCTCTATCCAGTGTACAAAATATATACGATATTTAAAGTAACATAAATATAATACTTCATACAAATGCTATGCTTACGAAAGTTCAATACTTTAGAAGAAAATTTTTTTTTTTTAAATGATAAAAATGGAACACAATATAGTTTAATGGCCTTAATGCTTTAACATAGGGTCTTATTACATTAACACTGAAATTCAAACTTGGTAGTTTAGAGCATGACTATTTATACATGATTTATTAACATCTATTAATATTTCGCTTTCTTGCTGACAGCCTCTTAAGGATTAAAATCATGTAGGTGCTAAGATAACACGCGTCATGGACACCTATTGAGCCTATAACTGTTAACATATCTTATTACATTATTTTTTAATAGGTTGTGAGGATTATATGTATTTTAACAATGTCCAAATAATTTTAAAAATAAAAAACATGTATATTTTTTTTAAAACAATGTTGTGAGAAAAACTGATACTACAAATGAAATTGTCAATTGTAGAAGAATGACCTGATAATATTGGTTTTTGTTTAAAATTTAAAATAACAAAAAACTGAAACCTTACTTTATTAGCTTTGTTCTTATTATTTGTTAAATGAAAGCAAACACTGTAAAATTATAATACTTCTTGTACTTAAAAAAATTAAATATTTTACTATGTTTCATTATAATTAAAAATAGGAGAGTATTCACAGATAAAACAATATTTTTTAATGGTACAAACCTTCCAGTTTATAAAATTCTCCTTCAGGTACATTATGACTGCGATTTTCTCCCATTCCACAAGTTGTACATCTATCAGGGATTCTGAGAAATACGTCATAAAACACACATGATTGAAGATATGATATTACTATTCTACATATTTCATGATAGTTAGTACTGTCATAACACATAGTTAAAAATTCTTGAGGCTCAACTACATAAAAGCACGAGCTGAATTCAGAGCTTTTATTGGTAAACAGTGCATGACAAAGTTGCCTAGAAGGATGACTTGACAAATTACGTATGGTTGTTGAACTATTCTCAGTGGTACAGTCTTCATAGAATGCCCAAGATTGCATGAATTTGGTAACATCAAGCTCTATTTTTCCAGCTGAGGTTAGTGAGTCATCTATTTTCTCATTAGACATGGTACCAAAGAGTCCAGCTGTTTTTCCGTAGTACCATCCAGACAGTTCAAACGTGCATAAATCATATTTCAGGTTGCACTCAAGTCTTATTTGCTGGTTCTTTTGTTCTATTATTATTAAATTTTCTTTTTGGTACACGTATACGGTGCCATTATTTAGTTCAATAGGAAGTTGTTGATTCTCATTCTTTCTTAGTAGTTGTACATCCTTAAAAAAGTTTTAAATTTATTGTTAAAGGTAATGAAATGCCCTCTTTCATTAAAAAATAAAATTAAGGAAGTAAGATTTACATTTACTAATTTAATTTTTGTTTACTTGTGCTAACTAACATCACTGTTGATATTTATAAGAGTTATCATTATCTGCATAAAATAGTAATAGAAATGGGTTTTTATACGCATTTGAAAAACAATGATGCATGATTAAGCTTTACATGCTTTTTTATAAGTAAACTTCTAAATTAAATTATAATTATCAATAACTATTTAAAGAATACTAACGAACTAAATCAATGATTATAAACTTAAAAATATAAAATGCTAAAAAGCTTTTGACCTCCCATGATGCAGTACACAGGAATCATTACAAAGTTTTTTTTACGTATTTCTAGATAAAAATAAAAGTTATACGTTATGTAGACGAATTGTGATAATAGTTTCTATCTTATCAGTAGATAGATTGCTAGCAACAGTATTTGACAAGGGTTTAACATACAGTAAGGCCGTTTATGGGAAAGAAGAAAGCAAGAAAGAAAAAACATCCTAAACGTTGACTGCAAAAAAGAATGTTGCTACTCAATTAATTCGAATTTTTTTTGTCGATATTATAGGGAAAGGTTAAAAATTAATGCTTATTTGCTGTGGCTTCCAAAAATATTCTATCTTCATACTTTATCAAGGCTCTGAAAATCGGAAAAAGTTCCCTTTTTAAGACCTTGAAAATATTTAGACAATGGCACATTTTCAACGAGATGGCATCGAAAAACTTCATCCAAATAATTTTTCTTCCTGATTGTCTGATCAGCCCTAAGCTAATTATTAATTCAACATTTTGATTATGCCATGTTAACATCGGTAGATGGATTTTAGTCAACTAAGAAGTTTAACTACGCTTATAAAGACATTCTCCTCCACAACTGATTCCGTCCTCATCCATACAATATATAAGCTATAGCCAAGCTCTGAAATTATCGTTTATCACCTTAGGCTAAGCAAGAGCACATGTCTAACAAAATCACTGGAAAAGTCTCACGACGTCTATGCATTCTCAAAAATCTTCACGGCTCCCCTACTTCTAATAAGAAAGATATAAGACAGTGGCAAGCTCTAGAATCATTACTTATCAACTCGAGCTGACCAAGAGCACAGTAGCAGCAGATCAACAGGAAAGCTTTACGATGTCTGCACAGTCAAGAGGAGAGTACCATTCGAAAAAACTAGTTACCTTTACTTAGCTAAAAATTAAAAAAGAAAAGGTTTAGCTCATGAATTTTATTTCTCCTTACTTTAACTTTTTAAAAGCCATTTTATTTGCTTTAGGATATTAAGATCATGTCAGAGTTGCAATACCTTAAACTTATTGTAAAAATGCTTTTGCAGCCACTAGAATTCAGAGCCAACATTGATGAAGAAGATTTAGACCTACATAGATGCTTAAGATTAGCTTCAGAGGCAATTAATACACTAGAAAAATTGCTTTTTTATAAAAATTACTTTAAGCAAAAAGACAAACATGTACTTCTCTGATAACTAACTGAGTGAGCATTATTAAAAAATTGAATGGATTTTTATTAACAATTAATGTAGGATTAAAGCAATCAGCAGCTTTACCAGTATGGTCTAAAAAAATTGTTTGGTTTAACAATGAAGTAAGAGCCTTCAAGAATCTCATGTGAACAGGTGTGGCAAATCCTGTACATCAAGATATTAAAATATTCTTGTATGGTATAACATTGAAAACAAAAAAAGAATGTATGATGGCTCATAAAGGCAAATTTTTGGTTCAAATATGATATGAAGTTATAAATTAACGTCACAATAATACTTGCATAGCAGACAAGAGAAGAGGCAGCACAATGCTACCCATCCCTACCCTGTTCTATGCCTCTGTACACATACCCATCCCCACTTTTGGTCTTATACTCCGTGTAGCAGCTGGTATGTCTGTGTATCAACGCACAACTGTAGATAGAGGGCACTAAGGCAGTACGCGTAGGTGAGCCAGCAAAAGAGACACTCTCGTTCATGTCTACTTACCGTCATCACGTGCTTTTCGAAGTAAATCTAATCTCATCGTCGTGCGTTCTCTCAGGCATGTGTGCAAAGCTTCTAAGGTTGTCCAGCATCAATTGGTAGTAGGAGACGCAGAAACGACTACCTGTTGGTGACTTTGGCTGCTGCAACAACCTACACACACGTGCTGCCAAGGACAGTTGTGTCCGAGTACAGACACCTGCCCACCGCACCTCCAGTTGCCTGCATAAAGTACGACTGTTAACACCTCTGCAGCAGTAAAACGGTAGGTCCACATCCTTGTATCCCGTCCGTATCGTGTAAGCATTGTGCCAAGCAGCAACTGCCGAACTTTCACCAGTAGGGCTAAGGTTGTATCTCGTTAGACAAGGTCGGATAGTTAAGCAACGGAATTATGTATGTAATAGTAGCATGAAGTTGTGTTAAAATATAAAGAGCAATCATTTTCTGAAACATTGGTGTCTTTCATTAATGTACATAAAAGTGCCAACTATACATCTTATCCCTTCAGTCCTGTAATAAAATACCAACATGCCATGCCTTGCTACTTATAGGTAAGTGAGTGAGGCATGGCATGTTATGATAAATATCGATGAGGTAAATCGAAAAAAAAATCGTACCTAAAATCACCGTACGTCATCAAAAATAAGTGAGATTGTATTAATATGGTGAATAGTAACAATAAGTAACCCATGTAGGGTTACTAGTATTGTCTGCTTTGTATACTTTGGAGAAAAATACGGAATGTACTAATTAATGAGTATTACATTAACATATACTTCATTTAATTAGTACTTTAATTTTAAATTTTAGTGAAGGATGTCTTTGAGTTAAAGAAATTAAATCGTGTTTCTATAAAATTAAATAATCTCCAGAACTTTAAAAAAAATTAAACGTCATTCAACACTGAAAGATTTTATTTAAGACAAAAAAACTCAATTTATGATCTATACATGGTAAAAAGATTGATTAAAGTAAAGGAAAATAATACAAAGCTGCAAGTAATAACAGTATTTTAAAACTGAAAGCTAACTGTGGCTCAATTTCAAATTTGTCAAGATTAGGAATGTCAGTTAGCAAATGACAAAACTAAAAATCAACGTTTAAAAGTTTTAAACACTGACCATTAACTTTCAACTCATAAAAACAACTGTACGACGATAAACGAGTGTATATGAAAAAACATTTACTTAATGATTGTACTGTTTTCGAGAACACAGCACAAAGCATTGATTATTACACAAAATGTTATGATATACACGCCGTTCATACTAGTTATGTATTTCTTATCAAGTTGAAGACTCTAACAGATGAATCCAAACAACTCCCTATACTACATAAATGTTTCTGTGGGGCACTTAACACCAACTCCCTACAGCCCTCCTCTTTTAACCCCACATACAACCCGTTAACACCCTATGGCCCCACCCCACTGCCACCCCACATAAGATAACATTTCATCATTTTCAACCTTATTTTGGCTTAGCTTGCTTTTTTCCATACCCTCTACCACCCACATAGCCTCACACAGCCCCCCTATGATGCCTCACAGTGCCACAATTAGCAAACTACAGTGAGACGAAAATTTTCAAAATAAACTAATACATACATGTATGTATGTTAGTAGACATTACTTTCTGAAAAAATATACATAAATAACATAGTACATGTACGCAAAAGTCGTTTCCGTTATTCTGATATATATGACATTTTATCAAGACACCCCACCGTACTCTACTAACCTCATACATACTTAAACATGTATTCTTAAGTCTATATTCTTATATATTTTTCCAAACCACCCAGGATGGACATGAATGAACTTTATACGTACGAATAATTTATAACAAGGTCGTTTGTACAGCTATAAGTTAGATCGTAAATACATTTATATTAATTCTATTTTAATTCATGTGATTATAATAATCATGGTGTGCAAAGCTTTTTTATATTGGTAAACCACTATGTAAAAAATTGTTCTTATTTACTTGCTCTTTCATGACATGATACCAATGTATATATAAATTGAAATAATACTTAATTATACACTAATACAAACAATTTACGTATCATACTGTTAAAGAGGTCAACTCACAGATCTAATCAAGTCCTTTTCTTTAACGATTAAAAATTAACATACATGTGTGTAAAGATTGAAACATAAGATTATTTTACATACTGTTGTCTCATTCTAATCAAAATTTATCAAGGGGGAGGAAATTCCTAATAGGTACTATATATTAAATATGGGAGGGGAGTTTAATAAAAAAATGCTTTTTATATAATCACAGAAGGAATATTAGGATCTAAAATAGTAATAAAAATAAAAGATACATGCAAACAGTTCTTAATTATTGCACAAAAGAGTAGATGACCCTATTATAGACACTTTAAGAAAAACTTTTCTAGAACTCATGTATTATTAGGAGCATACTATTTGACTAAACTGAATTTTAAATTAGTATAAAAAATTTACTAATTTACTATACGTGTACATATGCCTGATTTGACAAATTCATAATAAGTACTTTTTATTAAATAAATTGAAAAATTTTTATTTTGACTCTCCCAGAGAGCCCCGAACTTGTTCATGTAC